GTCTGTCTCGCGGACTCGGGCGAGGGTTGCTGCTCCCCGCTGCCATTTGGCTCAGAGGGCACCGATGCTGACAAATCCTCGGTCACAGGGGCCAAAGATGTGGCAGTGGCGGCGGCAGGCATTGCCGCAGCAACTTGAGCAAAGGAGCGAGGGCTGGATGGCGTGCGAGGAGTGCGGGGAGAAGCATTGGAAGTGTTTCCGAGAATGGGAAGTTGCTCCCCGCCGCCGTTTGACGTCCTGGTCACTGGCTCGGCCGCGGGCACGACGGCACGTGCCGAAGACTCGGTCGCACCGGCAGCGGGGGACGTCGAGGGCACATGAGACGAGGCACGGGCGGTAGAGGCAGAGTGGCGGGCGCGAGGGCGAAACGGGGTGGTCATAGGGTCAGGGAAAACATGGTTACGGTCGTGGCGAGCGCTGCCATGTTTCGTGTGTTTCGCAGAACGATGAGTTTGGGAAGGCGAGGTGGTGGTGTTGCTTGGAGGTGACTCGGCACTCGGGCGTTTAGCACCGCGGACCTGGGTCCAAGAATCCTCGCCGCCGGACTCAGTGGCCATGTCCGCGGGGCAAGCAAGCGAGCAAGCGAGCGGACACGGTGGGAGCGAGGGCGCCGCCAAAACGCGGGCCGCAAGGAGCGGGGTTGCAGATTTTGTCTGACAACGTGGTTCACGCCAAGATGTCAGAAAAAAAAAAAAGTAATACCGTCTCAGATTGTGCCTCTAATACTGAGGTTCAAACACCTAATTTATTATGACTGATTCCTTTGGGTCTCATCTGCGAGGACCCGTTCTGACCGTTCCTGCTCTTCACAACCTTCGTCTGCCCCGGTCTGATCGGCACCAGGCTGATCTGCTTTATTTATCTGCTCGGGCCTGATTCCTTTGAGTCTCATCTGTGATGGCCCGTTCTGATCGGGCCTGCTCTGCTTAACACTCATCTGCAACGGCCTGATGGGCGCGAGGCTGATCAGATAGGGCCTGATTCCTTTGAGTCTAATCTGCGAGGACCCGTTCTGATCGGGCCTGCTCTGCTTAACCCTCCCGGCCCCGGTCTGATCGGCACCAGGCTGATCTGCTCGGGCCTGATTCCTTTGAGTCTCATTTGCGATGGCCCGTTCTGATCGGGCCTGCTCTGCACAACCCTCGTCCGCCCCGGTCTGATCGGCACCAGGCTAATCTGATAGGGCCTGATTCCTTTGAGTCTCATCTGCGAGGACCCGTTCTGATCGGGCCTGCTCTGCTTAACCCTCGTCCGCCCCGGTCTGATCGGCACCAGGCTGATCTGATAGGTTCTGATTCCTTTGGGTCTCATCTGCCAGGACCCGTTCCGAGCGGGCCCGCTCTGCTTAACACTCATCTGCAACCGTCTGATCGGCACCAGGCTAATCTGCTCGGGCCTGATTCCTTTGAGTCTCATCTGCGATGGCCCGTTCTGATCGGGCCTGCTCTGCTTAACACTCATCTGCAACGGTCTGATCGGCACCAGGCTAATCTGATAGGGCCTGATTCCTTTGAGTCTCATCTGCGAGGACCCGTTCTGATCGGGCCTGCTCTGCTTAACCCTCGTCCGCCCCGGTCTGATCGGCACCAGGCTGATCTGATAGGTTCTGATTCCTTTGGGTCTCATCTGCCAGGACCCGTTCCGAGCGGGCCCGCTCTGCTTAACACTCATCTGCAACCGTCTGATCGGCACCAGGCTAATCTGATAGGGCCTGATTCCGTTGGGTCTCATCTGCGATAATAATAAATTAGGTGTTTGAACCTCAGTCCGCCCCGGTCTGATCGGCACCAGGCTGATCTGATAGGTTCTGATTCCTTTGGGTCTCATCTGCCAGGACCCGTTCCGAGCGGGCCCGCTCTGCTTAACACTCATCTGCAACCGTCTGATCGGCACCAGGCTAATCTGATAGGGCCTGATTCCGTTGGGTCTCATCTGCGATAATAATAAATTAGGTGTTTGAACCTCAGAGCTGAAAGCAAAGCTGTGCAACCCCGACATCAACATCACAAGGGCACGCAAAACAACACAAGAGAACAAGTTACATTCGCTGGCTTTTATCATGCCAAGAAGTACAAGCGCGAAGAATCCTGCACATAGAAACAAAAATCGTACAAAACGACCAAGTATAACCAGAGATCAAACACAAGACACCCAAAAGGGCAGTCACACATCACAAGTATAAGCCATCACAGCACAAACACAATGAACACCACGGCACGCTCACATCCAACGAGACACAACGTCGGATTGAGGAAAACAACCGGCCACAGAAGAAAAAGACATCATACAAAGGACCTTACAAAAATTTAGCAAAATTACCACAAAATACAGCAAAAATTAAAACAAAAATACAAGTCAAGCCATCCATCATCAACAGACACAACGAGAACCACCTAGGGAGTGACGCGTGCACACAGGGATCCCCACAGAGGGACCCCCGGGACGGTGCCTACCTACGACGAGCGCAGGCAGACACCGCCAAAGTGGCGCTGGATGTGGTCAGCGTTCATCTGATGGACCAGCGCCGCAAAGCGACCTTTCCACCGAGGAACAAAGGCCTCATCCAGCCCCGGCTGGTACACACCACGGGCCTCGGCGCAGCGGGCGAGCTGACCAAGCAGATCCACAAAGGAGGAGGCGAACCCACCGGTTGTCGTCATCGCCGCAGGGACGATCAGAGTTTTTCCATGGTTGAAACCGGTGTAGTAGTCGCGCTTCTCCTTTTCGGCTCGGCGAAGGGCAGCGCCCACCTTGATGCAGGCTTGCGAGGTGGTCGGGGGTTGGGCTGTGCGCACAGTCACGTCAATGCCCAGGTCGGGCAGAGCTGGGCCCAGAGCACCGCCGGGAAAGGGGTTGCGGCAGTGCAGGTCGATGCGGCAGCTCTGACCGTTGGCGTTGTAGCCAGACTTTTCCACCCAGACATGGGAGAGGGTGGCGTACCTGAGCAGGCGGCCCATCTCGTCGCGAAGGGCGTTGTGACGCTTGATGGGACGGCAGGTCAGCAGGTGCTCGTATAGTGAGCAGAAATACTTTGAGCAACGAGCAAACGTGGGATCTAAAAAAAAGGGAGAGTGCTCACGCGTCACCAGGAGTAACAAGGAAAAGCAATACAATTCGTGTGCTTCAATGCTATCACACCCTTGTGGTCGCACAGCTGACAAAACGCATAGATTCTGTTTGACACCACAGCGTGCGGAGGCTACTTTTGTGTTGCGGGAAGCGCGTAGATATCGGGAAGCGGCGTGAAGGAGTTTCGAGTGAACGTCCGTTGCAGCGGAGCAGAGATTTGGCGGTGCTCGGAGGCCAATTGAACCAGCTGCGATTGGCGGGCACCCACAGCGACCAGGGCAGGTGTAATATTGAAACTGCTGTACAGTCACTCGATTCTAAAGATAGGATGGATCGGGAAAGTCATCATGAGAGGGCACCCCTAGAGTGTGTGTGGTGTGTGGTGTGTGCGTGAGTGCGTGAGTGCGTGAGTGTCAGTGGGTGAGAGTGGGCGAGAGTGGGTGGGAGTCATATAAAAATAATAAATTAGGTGCTTGAACCTCAGAGCTGAAAGCAAAGCTGTGCAACCCCGACATCAAAATCACTACGTCACGCAAATCAACACGAGAGAACAAGGCACATTCACCGGCTGCTATCATGCCGAGGAGTACAATCGCGAAGAATCACGCACAAGGAAACAAAAATCGTAAAAAACCACCAAGTATAACCATAAATAAATTAGGTGTTTGAACCTCAGAGCTGAAAGCAAAGCTGTGCAACCCCGACATCAACATCACAAGGGCACGCAAAACAACACAAGAGAACAAGTTACATTCGCTGGCTTTTATCATGCCAAGAAGTACAAGCGCGAAGAATCCTGCACATAGAAACAAAAATCGTACAAAACGACCAAGTATAACCAGAGATCAAACACAAGACACCCAAAAGGGCAGTCACACATCACAAGTATAAGCCATCACAGCACAAACACAATGAACACCACGGCACGCTCACATCCAACGAGACACAACGTCGGATTGAGGAAAACAACCGGCCACAGAAGAAAAAGACATCATACAAAGGACCTTACAAAAATTTAGCAAAATTACCACAAAATACAGCAAAAATTAAAACAAAAATACAAGTCAAGCCATCCATCATCAACAGACACAACGAGAACCACCTAGGGAGTGACGCGTGCACACAGGGATCCCCACAGAGGGACCCCCGGGACGGTGCCTACCTACGACGAGCGCAGGCAGACACCGCCAAAGTGGCGCTGGATGTGGTCAGCGTTCATCTGATGGACCAGCGCCGCAAAGCGACCTTTCCACCGAGGAACAAAGGCCTCATCCAGCCCCGGCTGGTGCACACCACGGGCCTCGGCGCAGCGGGCGAGCTGACCAAGCAGATCCACAAAGGAGGAGGCGAACCCACCGGTTGTCGTCATCGCCGCAGGGACGATCAGAGTTTTTCCATGGTTGAAACCGGTGTAGTAGTCGCGCTTCTCCTTTTCGGCTCGGCGAAGGGCAGCGCCCACCTTGATGCAGGCTTGCGAGGTGGTCGGGGGTTGGGCTGTGCGCACAGTCACGTCAATGCCCAGGTCGGGCAGAGCTGGGCCCAGAGCACCGCCGGGAAAGGGGTTGCGGCAGTGCAGGTCGATGCGGCAGCTCTGACCGTTGGCGTTGTAGCCAGACTTTTCCACCCAGACATGGGAGAGGGTGGCGTACCTGAGCAGGCGGCCCATCTCGTCGCGAAGGGCGTTGTGTCGCTTGATGGGACGGCAGGTCAGCAGGTGCTCGCGGGTTAGTCGCGGCTGAGGTGTCTTGCTGCTGCAGAGCGGGCACTTGTCCGTCGGCTTGACGTTGATGAGTTCATGGAGGCCAAAACCCATCATGGACACAACCGCAATGGCAAAGGTCGTGTCGCTCAAGCGACGCAACTTGTCCCGACCCCGCATGATCAAGACTGTGCTGACGCCCCACTCGCGTGAGGCCAGATATGCCTGCTGCAGGTCCAG